TTTTCTACATAGTCCATCATGTCATCTACAAAGGCAGTTTTCTTTTATTTCCTAGTATGTGACTTATTATTATTATTATTTTTGTTTTATTATATTAGCTAGAATCTCTAATACAATGTTAACATAAGAGTCTTAAGAAGAAGCTTTTGGGCTTGTTCTGATCCTACTAGGAAGGCGTCTAGTTTTTCACTAGGAAAGCATCTAGTTTTTCATTACTCATGCTTGTAATCCCAACTACTCAGGAGGCTGAGATCTGAGGATCATGATTCATAGCTAGTCCAGACAGGAAAGTCCACAAGACTCTTAACTCCTATTAAACAGGAAAAAAAATGATGATGATGTTAGTGTTTTTTTTTTTTTTGTGGCATATATCTCTTATCAAGTTGATAACATTCCCTTATATTCTTAGTATCTGATTTTTTTTCATGAATATGTTGATCTTTGTCAAATGTGTTTCTGTATCTATTGATATCATCATGTGGTATTTTTTCCTTTAGGGTATTGATGTGATGGATTACATTATTTTCAAGTGTTGCATTTCTGAAATAACTCCACTGTCATTTTTTTTGTTGTATAATTGTTTTCATACATTGTTGATTCAACTTGCTAATACTTTGTTGTTGGTTTCTGCATCTGTTTTTATGAGAGATATTGGTTTGAGGTTTCTTGTACTGATGTTGTTCCTTTTGGTGTTAGGGTAACAGAAAAAGTGTATCTCCTGTTTTTGTATTATAACAGGTATTTTAGAGATTGGAATGACTTGTTTCTCAAAAATATGTTTGGTTCACCAGTGAATTCATCTGAGCCTGGAACTTTCTGTCTTACAGAGGTATTAATTTTTGGCTCCATTTCTTTAATATGTACACACTTTCTGGTTTCATTTAATTTCATTTTGTTGTTGTTGGTTGTGGGCTTGAACTCAGCCTAGGCTGTATCCCTGAGTTCTTTTGCTCAATGCTAGTGCTCTAACACTTTGAGTCACACCTCCACTTCTGGTTTTCTAGTGGTTAATTTGAGGTAAGAGTTGCACACTTTCTTGCTCAGGCTGGCTTTGAACTGTGATCCTCAGATCTCAGCCTCCTGAGTAGCTAGGATCACAGGTATGAGCCACCAGCACCTGGCCCTTGGGTCATTTCTTCTTGTATAAGTTTTGGTAGATTGTGTCTTTCAAGAAATCAGTTCAACCTTACTTATGTAACTGTAACCCCTCTGTACATCACCTTGAAAAGAAAAAAAAAGAAAGAAAAAAAAAGAAAGAAAAAAGAAATCAGTTCAGCCAAGTACCGGCTGCAATCCTAGCCACTTGGGAAATTAAGATTGGGAGGTTTGTGGTTCAAGATCAGCCCAACCTTCTACACATGAGACGGTTCTTAACTAGTAGCTGTGCATGCTCCTGTCATTATAACTACAGTATGTAATAGGTTAAGATCAGGGAGATTACAGTTTCAAGCAAGCCTGGGCAGAAAAGTCCAGAAGACTTCAGCACCAATTAAAAAAAAAGAGTTGTAAGCATGACAGCAGCACAGTGCCTGCCCACCAAGCACAAGTTCCTCATCAATGCAAAAAGAAAGAAAGAATGAATGAAAGAATGAAAGACAGAAAGAAAGAAAGAAAGAAGGAAGGAAAGGAAGGAAGGAAGGAAGGAAGGAAGAAAGAAGGAAAGAAAGAAAGGAAGGAAGGAAGGAAGGAAGGAAGGAAGAAAGAAGGAAAGAAAGGAAGAAAGGAAAGAAAGAAAGAGAGAAAGGAAGGAAGGAAGAAAGAGAGAAAGGAAGGAAGGAAGAAAGAGAAAAAGAAAGGAAGGAAGGAAGGAAGAAAGAAAGAAAGAAAGAAAGAAAGAAAGAAAGAAAGGAAGGAAGGAAGGAAGGAAGGAAGAAAGGAAGAAAGAAAGAAGGAAAGAAAGGAAGGAAGGAAAGAAGGAAGAAAGGAAGGAAGAAAGAAAGAAAGGAAGGAAGGAAGGAAAGAAGGAAGGAAGGAAGGAAGAAAGGAAGGAAGGAAGAAAGAAAGGAAGGGAGGAAGAAAGAAAGAAAGAAAGGAAGGAAGGAAGGGAGGGAGGAAGAAAGAAAGAAAGAAAGAAAGGAAGGAAGGAAGGAAGGAAGGAAGGAAGGAAGGGAGGAAGGAAGAAAGGAAGGAAGGAAGGAAGGAAAGAAGGAAGAAAGGAAGGAAGAAAGACAGAAAGAAAGAAAGGAAGGAAGGAAGGAAGGAAGAAGGAAAGAAAGAAAGGAAGGAAGGAAGGAAGGAAGAAAGAAAGAAAGAAAGGAAGGAAGGAAGGAAGGAAGAAAGGAAGGAAGGAAGGAAGGAAGAAAGGAAGGAAGGAAAGAAAGAAAGGAAGGAAGGAAGGAAGGAAGAAAGGAAGGAAGGAAAGAAAGAAAGGAAGGAAGGAAGGAAGGAAGGAAGGAAGGAAGAAAGAAAGAAGGAAAGAAAGGAAGGAAGGAAGGAAGGAAGAAAGAAAGGAAGGAAGGAAGGAAGGAAGGAAGAAAGAAAGAAGGAAAGAAAGAAAGAAAGGAAGGAAGGAAGGAAGGAAGAAAGGAAGGAAGGAAGAAAGAAAGAAAGGAAGGAAGGAAGGAAGAAAGAAAGAAAGGAAGGAAGGAAGGAAGGAAGAAAGAAAGAAGGAAAGAAAGAAAGGAAGGAAGGAAGGAAGGAAGGAAGGAAGAAAGAAGGGAAGAAAAAAAGAAAGGAAGGAAGGAAGGAAGAAAGAAAGAAAGAAGGAAAGAAAGAAAGGAAGGAAGGAAGGAAGGAAGGAAGGAAGGAAGGAAGGAAGAAAGAAGGAAAGAAAGGAAGGAAGGAAGGAAGGAAGAAAGAAAGGAAGGAAGGAAGGAAGGAAGAAAGAAAGAAGGAAAGAAAGAAAGAAAGGAAGGAAGGAAGGAAGGAAGAAAGGAAGGAAGGAAGAAAGAAAGAAAGGAAGGAAGGAAGGAAGAAAGAAAGGAAGGAAGGAAGGAAGGAAGGAAGGAAGAAAGAAAGAAGGAAAGAAAGGAAGGAAGGAAGGAAGGAAGGAAGGAAGGAAGAAAGGAAGGAAGAAGGGAAGAAAAAAAGAAAGGAAGGAAGGAAGGAAGAAAGAAAGAAAGAAAGAAAAAGAAAGAAAGAAAGGAAGGAAAAGGGAAAAGGAAAAAAAATCCCTGACCTTTCATTCAGGTTGTTGTAAATACAGATTTATTAACCTTTGTATGTCCAATAAATCTGTAGTTATGTATCCTCCTTTATTTCTGACAATAGTTGTTTGTTGTTTCCATTTTTTATTTGTCTTGCTAGATGTTTAAAATTTTATTATTTTTTTCCAAAAACAAGTTTTAATTTCATTGATTTATTTTCTATTAGGTTCTTATGTTCACTTTCATTGATTTCTCTGATTTTTATTATTCATTCTTCTTTATTTTGGTTTTAGTTTATTCTCATTCTGCTTGATCGTTTTTATTTCTAATATGTGCATGAAATTCAGTGCATTTACTTGTAGGCATTGTTTTTGCTGAATGTCACACATTTTGATAAGTTACATTTTCATTTTTGTTTACTTCAAAGTATTTTGAAATTCTTTTTAGCTTTCTTCTTTAATTCATGTGTTATTTAGATGTGAGTTGCTTAAACTTCAAGTATTTTGAAAGTTTCTAGCTACACTTCTCTTACTGAGTTCTAGATTAATTCCATCCTGGTCTGATCCATATTCTATGGTTTTCTTTTAATTTCTTTTCTTTTGCTCAAGGTTAGTGCTTGACCACTGTGAGCCATTGCTCCACTTTTAGTTTTTGAGTAATTAATTGGAGATAAGAGTCTCACGGGGACTTTCCTGCCTGGGCTGATTTTGAACCATGACTTCAGATTTCAGCTTCCTGAGTAGCTAGGATTACAGGTATGAGTCACCCGCACCTGGCTTATTCTTGTTTTTAATGACCCAGAGTATGGTATGTCCTGGCCTCTGTTTCATGTGACCTTGGGAATCTTGACTCAGTCAATGTCAAGTGTGTGTAGTTGATTAGTTTTACTGCTGAGTTCAGTCATGTCCTTACTGGTTTTCAGCTGGCTGAACTTTTTGTTTTTTAGATCCCTGAAAGACAGGTTGAAGTCTCCAACTACAATGGTGGTGGTGGTGGGGGGGGGGGTTCATCAATTTCTCCTTTCTGCTCTCTCAACTCTGCCTCATGTATTTCAGTGTCTGTCATTAGATATACATAAGTTTGTTTTGCCTTCTTACAGAAACGACTCCTTCCTTTATCATAATGTAATACACCTCATTATTCTTGACAACTTCCCTTTCTTTGAGGTCTACTGTGTCTGAAATTGAATAGATACTCCAGCTCTCTTTTGATTGCTGGAGCATACTCCAGTATAAGTTTTGGTTTGAACAATCTTGCTATGTAGCTCAAGCTGGCCTAGAATTCAGTATGTAGTCCAAACCCATCTGGAACTCATGGTCCTCCTGTTTCAGACTCATGCCTGGTTGAATTTAAGGATTTTGACAACACATCTGGCTCCCATTCTTTTATTTCTAAATCTGATATGGCACTGTATGTGAAGTGTGGAGTATCTTGTCGATAGCATATAACTGAGACTTGACTTTTTGGTTCATTCTGACAATCTATATCTTTCTCTCTCTCTCCCTCTCTCTCTTTCTCCTTCCTTCCTTCCTTCCTACCTTCCTTCCTTCCTTCCATCATGGGGCTTGAATGAGGTTTTTTGCTCAAGGCTAGTATTCGGCCATAGGTCCATCTCCAGTTTGGGGGTTACTTGAAGATAAAAGTCTAATGGACTTTTCTGCTTGGGCTGGCTTTGAACCTTGATCCTCAGACCTCAGCCTCCTGATTAGCTAGGATTACAGACATGAGCGACCAGCAACCAGTTCAATCTATGTATTTTTATCTAAATATGGTATATTTAGATGATGGATGTTCACAGTGAACATGAATATAGATTATTTGTCCTATTTGTTAATGTTTTCTATTCATTGCCCTTATGTTCTTTGTTCCTGCTTTTGTTTTCCACTCTTTTTCTGCCATTTATATTTTTCTTAAACAAATATGGAATGTTTTATAAATTTACATCTCATTCTTGCACTGGGGCTATGGGAATCTTCTCTGTATTATCCCAGTTTAGTATATGTGCTGCCAAAGCACACATCCATTTGCAGTTTTACTGAGTATTTTATACGGCTTTTTTTCTCATCTTCTTAGAATATCAATCATATTTCTTTTAAAAGTTGCTTTACAGCTTTATAGTTTGCAATAAACATTAACAACTAATCCAATTCCTCTTTCAAATAACGCTACACTGCTATACAACTAGTCCAATTCTACCTCCAAATAACAGACACTGCTTCCTAGCAGTGTAGTTAAAGCAGTATAGTGTTTTAGTAGTAAAATACCACTAATTAGTTCCTCTCCTCTTTTGTATCCTTGCTGCCATTCATCTTACTTATACATAAGCTATAATCATCAAATCCATTGTCACTGTTATTACTTTGGGTAATGGTTATCTGCTAAGTCAATTAGAATAAGAAAAATTAAAAAAATACATTTTTACATCTTACTACATAAAGATCCAAGTCTCTGACATACTTTACTTTCTTCTGTGCTGAAGTAACCTTGTAATATATCTTATAAGAAAGATCTACTGTCCATAAATTTCCTCAGTTTTTGTTTTTCTGAGAAAGTATTTTTTCTTCATTTGGGAAGGATAATTTTACATGACAAAGAAGTAGCATTTTTCTGTTAACATTTAAAAATTTCCCTCCATTCTCTTCTTGCTAGCATGGTTTCTGAAGAGAAGTCAGGTGTAATTCTCATTGATAGGTATTTTCTTCCTTCTGGTTTCTTTCAAGATGTTTTTGCTATCTTTGTTTTCTATGAGTTGATTTTGTTGTTCTGAGGGGTAACGATTTTGATATTTACCCTGCTTGATGTTCTTTGAACTTCCTGGAGCTGTGGCTTAGTGTCTGACATTCATTTGGGAAATTTCTCTGCCATTATTGCTCCAAATAGTGCAACTGTTTCTTTTTTTCCCTCTTTCTTGTCTTTTTGGCATTTCTGTTCCACATGTTGTAGTTGTCTCAGTTACTGAACACTTTGTTCCATTTTTTTAGTCTCTTTTTCTATGTGCTCTACTCTTTTGAAAGTTCTTGACATGATTACAAGCTCAGAGATTCTTCAGTTATACCCAATCTAATAAGATCTTCAAAAGGTATTCTGTATTTTTGTTACAAAGCTTCTGATTTAAATGTTTTTATCTATAGTATTTATATCTTATCCCTTCTTAGTTTTCATGGCTGTTACCCAATTTCCTCTTCATTATGTCTACTTTCCCAGTATACTTTCAGCATATTAGTCATGATTTAAAAAATAAATTTCTGTTTATTTTGTCATATCTTGTTGCATTTTGTATCCTTGCTGCCATTTATCTTACTTATGCATAAACTATAGTCATCAAATACCTTGTGGCTGTTATTATTTTGGGTAACTGTTATCACTTTGGCTAAATGTTATCTACTAGGTCAATTAGAAAAAGAAAAAAAGAAAATACATTTTTACTTATTTCTTTTTTGTAGATCCAAGGACTCAAGAAACAAAGGACCTCAACTTAATTTGTCGCATCATTTTTAGATGACTATGTTCTTGACCCCACATATGGTATGTATGTGTGAACGTAAGAGGGAAGCTAGGAGGAGGGCACAGAATCAGAGGGAAATGGGTGAAAAAATACAGCTGAGAGACCTACCAACTGCAATGGACATTGTTGAAAGTGAACTAAGCAACTCAAGGGCAATGATGGGAAGGAGGGATTGAGAGAGAAAGAGGGAACAGTTTACACTAAGCAAAAGGAAAGAAAGGTACATATCACCTGACCTCGAAGAAATGGTTGTATTGTCAAAGTTTGTAGAGTTCATAAGCTTGACCAAAAGTAGCTCACGCCTGTAATCTTAAGTACACAGGAAGCTGAGGTTTAAGGATCATCGTTCAAAACCAGTCAGGGCAGGAAAGGCTATGAGAATTTTATCTCCAAGTTAACCACCAAAAAGCCAGAGGCTGAACTGTGGCTCAAGTGGTAGAACACTGGCTTTAAGCACAAAAGCTCAGGGATAATGCCTCCACCCTAAGTTTAAGATCTTCCCAAGTTCAGGACCTCCTCACCCCCATCCACAAAATTCCTGTTCTGAAAATTCCACAATCCTGCCATATCTGAGTCTAGCTCTAATGCTTACTGAGTTTGTGTTTACTTCTTCAAGTTGGGATGTTTCCTTAATTTTTATTTTTAGTGTAGTTGATAATTTTTCCAAGATAGTAAGATGTGATGAACTGGAACTGGTAAGAGAAACTGCAGTAACTAAATGTTTATAATTTATTAGTAAAGGAGACCAGAGGAAGATGGCGGAGATGTTGCTGGACTATATGTGAGCTCTCCAAGAAATTCACTACAGGAAAATCACACCAAGTGAGCTGTAATAGTACAGAGATTCTGCCTAGCAAGGAAATATTCAGGCAGTTTGCACCAGAAGACAGATTTGAGCACAAATGGCTGCCGCAGCCCCTGGCAGCTGCAGCCCCTGGCAGCTGCTGTGTGACTGGCCAGACAAGACCGAAGCAAAGGCCGGAGATCCGGAGATGGAGGGCTGCATCTCTTCACCCACCTCCAGCACGGACTGAATGATCAGGAGCAGAATTCCACATCCTGCTGACCACAGGCGCAGATCCGGATGGGCCGACAAGCCAGGGGAAACCGTGAGCATCCCCTCACTCCTTCCCACAGAACAGCTCAGGGAAGGCAGCCCCGTCCCTGCTCTTCCATATTGGATACTGGCATAGACTCTGCCATAACAGCTAGCAGGTAACTCGGACACAAAAGCACCAGGCAGCACCATTTTTCTTCAGGGCAAGGAATTGGGTCTGTGAGAGTTGGCTCTGCCCAGGGGATGACTGTCCCGCCCAGGAGGAGGGAGCTCCTTACCTAGCCAGGGTGGATCAACCTTCACTGTCTGCTGAGCACAGAGAGGCAGCCACGCCCCCCTGCCAGCAACGAAGGAATTCCATCCATACCTCAGCCAAACTGGCACCTTAGCAGGCTGCAGGAATCTTACTAAAACTCATTAAAAATAATAAATAGAAACTGGAAAGGCTATAAAAGCTGAGAAAGGATTCAGGGTAGTAGCCCAAAGGGGGCTCCCCAATTTGGGAAAGGCCACTGACTCCAGATAGGCCAAAACCCCAACCACACCCAAGCTCAGTTCCAGCAACAACAAACTACAGTCCCCAGCCACCTCCTCCCGGCAGCACAAAGAAAAAAAAAAGAAAAGCAGTCTAGGAAGAAGGCCACAAAGTCCCCAAGCCTGTAAAACAGAACTTTTTTCTGTGCACCCAAACAAGCTGATTTGAGAAACCAACCAAGCAACAGGGAAAACAACGGCTAAAAGCAAATCAAAGAGGCCATCAAGGGACTGGAACATGGACTTAGGGGAAACATAAGAGCCCCCACATAAATAGAAGATACTTTTTTTTCTTTCCTTTTCCCCCAATTATAATTTTTTAATTTTTCCTTTATTTTTTTTTAAAATTTCTTACTTTTTTTTTTTTATTTGCTTATAGTGGTGGGTTTTCCCGGTTGCTTGGGGAGCCCCCTTTGGGCCACTAACTTGTATCCTCTCTCGTCTTTTGTAGCCTGTCCAGTTTTAATGTATTATTTTTAATGAATTTTAGTAAGGCTTCTGCAGTCAGCTGAGCTGCCAGTTTGGCTGAGGTATGGGTGGAATTTCCTTGCTGTCTGCAGGGGGTTGTGGCTGCCCTCTGGAGTCACCAGGTGGTGAAGGTCCTTCTGGGCTGGACAGCCTTCCCCTGGGCTTCCCTGGGTGGGGCAGCCTTCCCTTGGGCAAAGAGACTCTCATAGGTCCAATTCCTTGCCCTGAATAAAAATGGTGCTGCCTGCTGCTATGGTGTCCCGAGTTATCTGCTAGCTGTTATGGCAGGGTCTATGCCAGTATCCAATATGTTGTCATTCTCTGGTGGTGGTGTTGGGGGGCTGCTTTCCTTGAGCTGTTCTGTGGGAAGGAGTGGGGATACTCATGATTTCCCTTGGCTTTTCGGCCCTCTGCTTCTGATTGTCCAGTCTGTGGTGGAGATGGGTGAAGAGATGCTGCCATTTCCTTTGGTCTTGTCTGGCTGGTTCTGTGGCAATTGCTGGTGCCCACAGTAGCCACTTGTGCTCAAATCTGTCTTCTGATGCAAACTGCCTGAATTTTTTCTTACTAGGCAGAATCTCTGTACTATTACAGCTCACTTGGTGTGATTTTCCTGTAGTGAATTATTCTCTGACTGGGAAAGCTGGTGTCTTGGAGAGAGCTCACATGTAGTCCAGCTACATCTCTGCATGTACCAGGGGATTGTATTTTTTTTTTTTGTTTCCTATGGCATATGCCCTGTTGTCACTGTACTTGATTTCAGTACCCTGAATCTTGTATATACATATGTCTAATCTGGGGAGGGGAAGAGGAATAACAAAATGCTGAAACAAGGACCACAGGATGACCCATTGCAACAAGGATACCCAAAGGACAGTATACTGGAAATGTAATTTCCAACTTCAGGGGGAGAGGATGGAGTGGGGTGGGGAGTAGTGTGGGAGCTGGGGGAGGGAAGGGATAGTGAGACAACAACAGGTAGTGAAGAGGAAACAATGATGGACAAGTAGTGCACTCTTTGCCTCACTCATGGAACTGGAACCCCGCTATACAGCATCTTTACAATAAAATTGAATTTTTTTCTTGCTCCTCCTCTTTTTTACTCTTTTTGCAACTGGTTTAACTCTGTTACCTTTTTTCTGTCAGTTTTTTTAATGTTTTTGTTTTTAGTTTTATTTTCTTTTTATTTATTTTTTATTGGGAAAGCAGGGGTTATACTGTGGGGGAGGGACATACAAAGCAACAAAGAGATAATCTTATAAATGCGTTGGAAACAAATGCATGAAAGAAAAAAACATTTAAGTACATATCTAAGGGTTCATTTTCCTAACATCACATTATCTGACCTTTTCTGCTTGACTCATACATATACTATATATTGCAAATAAGAGAAACCATGGGACCTGTGTTTCTTTGGGCTTGGCTTACTTCACTTAATATAATTTTTTCCAA